ATGATTAGCAAGAATATATTTTACATTAACAGATTAATTATGATGAGAATTTAGTTTGTAAAAAGACAAAAAAAAAAAAGCAAAAGCAAAAATAAAATAAAAGATATTCACAAAGTCTTTGTATTTTCACACGGGTGTATAAATGTCTATTTCTTCCTCGCTTGACATGGATGAYATGATGCTCATGGGAGGGGAGGGTGCTCTGTGGTATGCAGATAGCTCGATGTGAGGTTCAATAGGCATACGTGGGTGAAAATACCTCCAAACTCGATGAAAACTGCAAATGCATATTATAGCAGCAGCAACGACTCCAACCCCTATATAGATGTATAGCAGGTATGACTTTGGTTTTTGYGTWAACTCTTTCTGCGAAGGACTTCCGGTTGACTTTAATGTRGATATTTCCCMTGTTGTTGATGTTGGGCTCGTTTTAGTCGGAGGGCTTATGAAACTTGTGGAAGGCTGACTTGTTAAGGTAGAACTTCTCATTGTTGTTAACAATGTGGTCGTTGTGGTCGTTGTGGTCGTTGTGGTCGTTGTGGTCGTTGTGGTCGTAGATTTTGATGTGGAGGGAGGGCAGTCAGTTTGAATTCTCAAGTGTGAGACATCTTGTGAAAACAAGGCATTGCAGTCTAATAGTGGGTTTTCTCTCAAATCTACCCTTTTTAAGTTTGGCAGGACTTGTTGTAGTTTCGCAATGTTAATCAATCGGATCTTGTTTTTCCTTAATGATATTGAAGCCAACATCACACTGGTTGAATTAAGAGGAACCTCATGAAGATCTCTCGCTGAGCAGTCAACAAGTTCCAAGACTTTATAACACACGCATACCCCATTAAGACAGCTTGAGCGGGGTGATGCGCTAGATGTAGTGAGAAGAGCTAGGAGGATTAAAATCAACATGTCTTGTCCGTGCGAGTTTAGCATGGTGTGATTACTGATTAAATCACATGGGAAAAGTCAATGTTGCCGTAGCAACCGATAGAAATGAGTTATGTAAACACTCTGCTTCATTTTGAAAAATTCCCGATAATCCCGACTTTCCCGATATAAAGCTAAAAAGCAGGGATAGGCAGGAATCGCAGGATAAGAAAAAAAATCATTTAGCGCTTGCCAATTCTGAGTCTATTTTATTAGAGAAAAACAAAAACATAAGATTAAAAATATATATATATATAATGCTACTAGCAATATAAATTAGCAGTGATCAATGCCTCCGTGATTTTGTAATCAATAAACTCACCTAACTC